AGAAGAAAGCAAAAATGTAGTTTATAAAATTCCATGCATATGTGAAAATACTAATTTTTATATAGGAGAAACTAAACATAAAGTTAAAGGAAGATTGAAAGAACATATAGCCGATTTAAAATATCAAAGACTAAATTCTGCCTTTCATGAACACTGTCTTTTAAATGATTGTAATATAGATAAAACTAATATAAATAGTTTACACAGAGAAAAAGATACATATAAAAGAAAATTTAAAGAAAGTATAGAGATCATCAAAACTCAAAATTGTATATTATAAAAATCCTAGCATTTCAATAAGTGAAAACTGGTTAAGAATTTTATATTAATTATTAATCATGTTCACCAGCTTCAAAAAATTTTTTATTATTATTATAGTCCATGTAATAATTTATAATAATAGATATTAAACTGTTAAATGACTTAACAAAAATATACAACTGTAAAATTGTCACAGACGTCATATGATATGTAAATTTGTATTATATTATGAATGAGTATCAACGAAGGTAATGATTTTGCAAAACTAATTTATGAGTGACATACAAGATGGAAAGTATGGTTAATTAAGTACTGTCTTTAATAATAGTTGTACCCTAGGTCATGGAGCTGAATAGTATTTCACATCGGACATTGTTCGGTATGCTTAATTGTCGTAGTGCATTTGCGATGTCTCTGACGTCTAAAGTAATGAAGATGTATTGAAGAACTTAAGAATAAGCTGATGTCACTTTAATTTGTAAAACTTGTGAATGCCTAGGTACGTTTTAAATCAAGATATTTTTATAAATACTAGAAAACTTATGTATTTTTATATATGTGTTGTATACTCCTTTAATATTTTAGTTGGCTGAAGAGGGGCTTAGGAGTCCAAAACATGTATATTTTCACACGTATCAACTAAATTAAAGATGAGAAAACTGCCAAGTGTCTTAATTTATTGCACTTTATTGTGTTCGAAGCAGCAACAAAGTTTAAAGCANATATTAATTATTAATCATGTTCACCAGCTTCAAAAAATTTTTTATTATTATTATAGTCCATGTAATAATTTATAATAATAGATATTAAACTGTTAAATGACTTAACAAAAATATACAACTGTAAAATTGTCACAGACGTCATATGATATGTAAATTTGTATTATATTATGAATGAGTATCAACGAAGGTAATGATTTTGCAAAACTAATTTATGAGTGACATACAAGATGGAAAGTATGGTTAATTAAGTACTGTCTTTAATAATAGTTGTACCCTAGGTCATGGAGCTGAATAGTATTTCACATCGGACATTGTTCGGTATGCTTAATTGTCGTAGTGCATTTGCGATGTCTCTGACGTCTAAAGTAATGAAGATGTATTGAAGAACTTAAGAATAAGCTGATGTCACTTTAATTTGTAAAACTTGTGAATGCCTAGGTACGTTTTAAATCAAGATATTTTTATAAATACTAGAAAACTTATGTATTTTTATATATGTGTTGTATACTCCTTTAATATTTTAGTTGGCTGAAGAGGGGCTTAGGAGTCCAAAACATGTATATTTTCACACGTATCAACTAAATTAAAGATGAGAAAACTGCCAAGTGTCTTAATTTATTGCACTTTATTGTGTTCGAAGCAGCAACAAAGTTTAAAGCATGGTTTCAGGTCATTAAAATAAAAAAATTATTTTCAATTAAATAATTTATACAATTTTATATATTTTATTTTGTAATTGTAAATTACAAAAAATAAATTATTATTAGATTATAAAAAAATATAATATATAATTACTTTACCTTTGTTGCAGTTGCAATTCTAATTCAGCTTTCATTTCCTAAACAGTAAAAATGTATTTGGTTTATATTTCAACTTTAATGCACATGTAAGGTATAACAACATTACTATCACTATATAATTTTTTAATTTATTAAAATATGACTATTAAAATATGTCAAATTATAAAATCAAATATAAAATAATATATCATCACTAGGTTGTTTATATTTTAAAAAATAATTTTTATTTAAAAATAAAAACAAAAGTTATTGAGAAACAAAATGTAATGGCATCAATTTTTCACTTTAATTTTTTCAGCCCTTTTTTTTTACTTTTTTATATGTAACAATTCTTATAAATAGTGCACACAATGATATTGAAGTTTTAAAAACTTATTTTTTTTTATATTTCTGTCAACAGATTGAGGTAAGAAAATGTTGCCCAAGTAGGTCATACTGTAATAAATATGAGAGATTCTGGAGGGGATAATTAAGTAATTAAATTAATTAGTTAAACTTAAGAGAAGTGGAAAAGCCCCACTTCCTTTTTCTCACTCACTCGCAATACTCTGATAGATAAAACCGATTAAATATCGGTCTAAGTCAGCAGTCACTACAATGTTTAGACTTATATGTCAAGACAGTTGATTATTAATGATGGAAACTGTCAAGTGGATGAAATTATGAGATAGGGCAAGCCACAATAACTGATAGAAAATAGTCATAATTCGTTGAATCATACAGTTCTTGACAGCTCATATCAGCAAACCCCAGACACAACTCAAACTTAGAACACCTTAAATTAAAGTCACCTGAAGCAAATCTCACATGCAACGCGTATAAAAAGGGTTGCACCCGACAATCGGGGCAGACATAATAGGAGCATAGATGAAGCTCTACCCGCCAGCTCCCTGACAGCCTACAGACCCCTGATTCTCAGCTAGATCCACGATTGTCTCCCCAAAGTCATATGAATAGGATCTATAAACATCAAGTAATCATCACAAGGTATTTTACTTTGAATTTTACGTAAAATCTCTCTCTCAGACCATACTCAGTTGTTAAATAGTTATAGCGTGTAACCTTTTTCTCATTTGCTAACCAGTCAACCTGTCTTATTTTGGAGAATGGACCCTATCAACTTATCCGTGACGTCCCCACTCGATTTATAGCCCTCTTAGCCATCCAGTGACAAAGTAAGCGGTCTTCACAAGACCGTTGCCAAAAGAAGGGCTTCAAACTGTTATGCTGAGCCCTCAGTTTCTCACAAATGTAAACAAAGCCTTAACCACTAAGATCTTGCAGTACCCATCCCTTTAAAGTAAAAAAAAAAATAAAAGTTGGAAAGAAAGTTTTTCAATGTAAAATTTATTTTGAACAACATTTTGTTTTTAAAAAAAATTAAACAAGCTAATTCACAATAACTGATCACAATGTTCTCTGCAGATGCATATGGCAGAACTAGCAACTCCCACACATCAGTAAACACATATTCAAGAAATAATTTTTGATATTTAAAATAAAGAAATATAATTATAAACTTGATTTTTAGATTAAAGGCAAACAATTGCTGGATTACATTGGGCTATAGTAATGTTACTAATTACTAACTAAATTTCAAGTAATTTGGCCTAGAAATAAGCATTAGGTGATATCTCTAAATTTAATACTATAATTAAACTAATATTTAATAATTAATTTATCAAGAGATGACACCTAACATCTACCTCTAGGCCAAAATTACTTGACATTTAGTTAGTAATTAGTAGCATTAATAATCCATAGCCCAATATAATCTGGCAATTATTTGGCTTTAATTTAAAATAAAGTTTCAGTATGTACGAGGGCAGGCTGAAAAGTAATGCACACGTGCTTGTAGAGCACAAACGAAATGATTTTCAGAAGCATGCCAAGTGGCATATGGAATTAATATTTCCCCTCTATGTGCATGCACAGTTTGAGGTTGTTGCGTTCATTTACTATATTTTGAGAAGCGGAAATATGGAGACATGTTCTGGTGCTATGTCAATGCGAGTTAAACAGCGTGCTGTTATCGAATTTTTAACTGCTGAAAAAATTACATTTAAAGGCTGTTTATGGTGACAATGCTGTTGATAGGTCTATTGTAAATTGATGGATAATAAAATTTTGTGGTTGCGAGCCTGGAAAAGCCATAATTGTTGATGAAACATGCAGCAGAAGTCCAATCACTGCCACAGACAATTACCGTTCCATCTTGTTGCAATGTTTAATTCTTCTCAGTACATACAGACTCTAAAACACCTCTGACATTGAGTTAGACATGTTAGAGGCAGCCTGGCACCAATAATCTTGCAACATGACAACGCTCGTCCACACACCTCGCGCACAACTGGAGAGGCTCTACGAAACCTGAAGTTTGAACTGATTCCACACCCTCATTATTCCCCCGATCTTGCACCTTGTGATTTTTGTTTGTTTCCTCTACTTAAGAGACCTCAAGGATAATCCTTACACCTCAGACGATGAGGTAAAAGCAGCTGTCAAGTCCTGGATTTGAGAAAAGTCAGAAGAATTTTTCAGTAATGGAATGAAAAAACTTGTTACACATTGAGAGAAATGTGTTAGTCATCATTAAGGCTATGTTGAAAAATAAATATATGATTTTGAAGCTTAAGAATTGTACTTTAATGTACTTTTTGCCTGATCTTGCTATTTGTTTTTGTTCATGTTCTACAAGCATGTGTGCATTACTTTTCAGCCTGCCCTCGTATGTTTTGGTAACACAAGTTGAAAACAAAACATAGTAACATTTTAGGGCAATTATAATTGATTTCCAATATGAATTTTGGCAGGCCAGATCTCAAAAACAAAACAGATTTTGAAGAACATTGAGATTTTAAGCCTATTTTTGATCCTAGAATCTATCCCTAAAATACTGGTATGAAGTTTCATTACATCCTGTATTATATCATTATAGATTATTATTAAATATATATATTTTAATATACTTTTTTTTAAAATCTATCTAATCATCTATTTTATTGAAAATTATATATGATGAAAGCTCTTTCAAATTATATTTTTATTGAAATAAAGATATTTAGTTAGTTAAATTCATCTCAGTTAATTTTACATCAATCAGAATACAAATGTAATTCACATTGTTAAATACAATGTTAGATCCAAATATTGTTTATTATTATAAGTAAGTAAATAATTAAAATTATTATTAATATTTTAATTACATATAAATTACCTCACATTTCTTTAATTCAGTTTCTAATATAGTAACTTTCTTTTGCTGTTCTTCAATCTGTAATTTCATTATTGATATTTCTTCTCCCTATTATCAATTAATATTGAAATAAGCTTAAAGAGTATGTTTTTTGATAATGATAAAGTTTTTTTGAAATATAACAACATTAATATTAACTTAGAAAGTATAAGAATATATTACTTTAATCAAGGAAAACTAAACTAAATAATTAAAGAATTTTATTGATCAATTGTAATTCATTTTTAAATAATTCTAATAAAAAATTATACAGTAGACTTGCTTTATAGAAATCTTTAGGACACCTGTTTAAAATAGATATTATATTAAATGATTGTTATATTGAATTTTCTCAATACACTTTCAGATTTTAGCAGGAAGACACCAATTACATTATACAGTTTTGTGTCTATATAAGAAAAATACTATGCAACTTTAAATATTATTATTTTAAAGGATTTAAAAGATCCTTTAAAATAATAATATTTAAAGTTGCATAGTTGCAATTTAAAGTTGCAAAATTGTAATTTAAAAAAATTAACTAAAAAAGTAAAAAAATATCACTGCAGAAGTTTTTAATAATTGAATGACAATCAAATCAGAAAAACAAAAAAACTTAACAAATCATTCAAACAACAGTTACTAGATTCCATAAATGTACACACATTATTATTATCATCTTTGTGTCTTGAAAGAAATTATAAGCATACTTTGCTTTACAGTGTATCGCTGATATAGTGCTTTTCAGTTATATTCATGTTTATTTTTTGGCACTTGCCTCACTCTTAATAGAATTTTTGGGGTTATTTTTATTCATTATTTTAACTTTTGCATCTTTTCTTAAACTTAAGTGTTATTGTGTACATAACAGGTAAAGTATAAGCTTTATATGCATTGGCATATGAATAACAAAAAGGCTGTAATTTGTTGTAAGGCAGTATTCAATTTTTTGGTGGTTGTGATCTGAAACCTAACCTGTCATATTAGCAGGGTATGCTTATATAATAATTTCATATTTATGTATTACGTACATATTTCAATGTATTGCAATTTTTCCATTTAATTCATTATCAAATTAAATTTATTTTTATGTAAAACAAATACAATTTTGATTTACAAAATTTTTTTAATAATAAGGCATAATTTTACCCAAGAGTACAACTTTTATCCCTATGTTTATGGATTCAATGTTCTACAATAAAAGCTCACTGACAAGATTCTGACCATTTTCAAGGTTGTTATATTAATAGTAAAATAGCATAATACTTATGAAAGAATGGAAAAGGCCTCCTCCATTGATTATTATATCATGGAGTGCCACTAAATTAAGGATTCCTACAAAGCAAGTCTGTTGTAGTAGACTTTACCTTTAACTATAGCATTTATCATATCTGAAACAATGTCTTTGATTAAAATATTAAACCTAGATAAGTCATCAATTTGTACTTTTATGTTTAAAAATATCAGAATGCTCAACAATCTGTTTCTTATTAAAAATGGGAAAAATTGATCAAATAGATCAATTTTTCCCATTTTTAATAAGAAACAGATACAATTTAATAAGAAACAGACTTAAGTTGTTCCTTATATGAAATATCCTTCTGCATGAATGTAACAAAAACATTCATTTCATTTAATGCAAAATTAAACTTAACCTTTACTTAAAAGTCAATAATATAAAATTAATAAATTTGGTCCCTATTAATTGAAAATAAAATATTAATTCAAATATGAGAGTTTATTAATATATTAGGTTGTTCAGAAAGAAATTTCGTTTTTTTTTACCACTAGACAGATTAGTCGTATTTTTCTGGCCATTTTTATTCTAAACCGTATTACCATTATATATTTTGACAGCTAGCATTTTAAGGCTTATTTGTAAAAAATTTTGTTTGATTTTCTGCAATTGTTTATTTTTTGTGTCCCATCAAATATAGAAGATCAAAAGCAGAATTTTCGGCATATTTTGCTCTTTTATTACCGAAAAGGTAAGAGTACTGTTCAAGCGAGAAAAAAAATTGTGTGTATATGGGGAAGATGTATTGACAGAACGACAGTGCCAAAACTGGTTTACAAAATTTCGTTCTGGCAATTTCAATATTGAAGATGCACCATGTTTTGGATGGCCAGTTGAAGCCAATGAAAACAAAATAAAGGTACTGATTGAGGCAAACTGCCGAATAACAACACGTGAAATCACTAAGAGATTAAATTTGTCAAATTGAACTGTTTATGATTACTTGAAACAAATTGGTTTTGTTTCAAAGCTTGATATATGAGTTCCACATGTTCTTAAGGAGAGATGCTATCTTTGGTGGGATTTTAAGGAAATTTTTTTTTGGAGCTTTTACCAGACAATTTAACAATTGATTCAAAAGTGTACTGCCATCAAGTAAACAAATTGAGTAATATCATTAAACAGAAATGGTGGCCAGAATTCATCAATAAAGCAGGTGTAGTGTTTTACCACGATAATGTCAAATTTCACACAAGTTTGGTAACTTTTCAGAAACTGTTATAACTTAGATGGGATGTGCTGTTGCACCAACCATAATCGCCACATCGAGCACACTCAGATTATTACTTGTTCCGGTCTATACAATTTTTTTAACTATAAGACATTTACTTGAAATGACAATGTCAAAAATCACTTGGATCAGTTTTTTGTAAGCAACGATCAAAACTTTTATGAATGTGAAATCATGCTACTACCAGAAATGATGACAACAAATATTTGATCAAAATGGTCAATAAATAATTCAACAAAATATTTATTTATTATAAAAATATTGTGTTTTTTTCCATGGAAAAAAACCAAAATTACTTTCCAAANTAATCATATTACTTAAAATGTAATTATTACTTTTTGTAATAATTACATTTTAAGTACTAAATTTTATTGTAATATTAATAGTTATATATTATTTAATTTGCCTTTTAATGTGAAGAGGTTTTTTATTCAACTTCGTCTCAATAGTGATGTAATAGTGATAGATATTAAATTTTATGTTTATGCTAACAATGTTTGCCCGAGATGCAATAAGGAGTTTTCAAAATTTCATTTGATTTGTGAATGTGAAAAGGCCAATGGTCTAAACAAAAATTTGATCTTTTGAGTTTAAATAAGTGTATTTCTGAAAAAACAATGTACAATTTTTTTCACAAAAGCAAAAACAGGAACTATTTATAATTTATATAATAATGTCAAAAAATTTGTTATGAATAATTGAGAATGTATCGTATTGTTTGATTTAATATATAATTGTGGAAAAGACAACTCCCTTTGTAACAGGCTAAGGCCTACTACAAATAAAGAGTAATTGAATAGAAAAAAAAAAAATTGAAAATTATTGTATATTTAAAGGTATTTTAAATAGTATATAAAGTTTTTTGAGAACCTTCCAAAATTTTTCAAGATAAAAATAAATTCACATAGATAGCATTCAAAATAATGACAGTAACATACAATTGTTGGATTTAATAAATTTTGTTATTGTGCAGTGAGTTTTGATAAAAAAAATAACTTAATTTTTGTCATTTAAAAGTATCAAATTTAAGAGTTTCAAGCATTTCAAAAAAAAAAAAAATGTATTGAGAATTTCATAAACACTGAAAAAACCTAACAAACCAGCGACAAAATTATAAACTAAGTGTGAATGTTTTCACCCATGTTAAATGGGCATCATCAGGCAACAAACTTATGAGAAAAATGCTGGGAACTGCCTAACATTTGCACTTAGTTTATAATTTTGTTGCTGGTTGTTAGGTTTTTGAAGCGTTTATTATTTTCTAGTTTTAACCAGTTGTAAAGTAGCAGTTGTTAATTGAGAATTTTATTTGACTGCATGAAAATCAAAAAAATTATTTTTTGTATAAATAAAAAAGTTATGACAACTATTGAAAGAGTTCAAATAGCCTTGTGTATTGTTGATTCATCATCATTTAAATGAGAAATTGTTTTATCTATCTAAATAAACTGTTTTGACAAATAAAAAAAATAGCAATTAAGTTTAGATTAAATTTAAAAATTAAAATTTAGTTTCCAAAATTTTGTTAAGAATCTTGCAGTTATTAATAATTCAACATAAATAAAACTTATTAATAAGTGTAAAATATTTTTTGTAATTCAGAATTTATTATTCTGTTAAATGAAAAATCTAATAGAGACTTAATCAATAATTCACTTTTTTCAAAGGCAATAAAGACTTTAATTTTAACAATAAATATCATAGTATATTTAATAGACAAATAATTTATGCTGAAAAATACTTTTGATTGTATTTTTCAGGCTTATAAATTAATTTGTAAAAACTTTCATTTTTAAATTTAAAGATTCAATAAAAACTATTTTCCAATTGAAAATGGTACATTTGTGTTCATTATAATTTTTTAACTTTGTGATAATTGATAATATCTATTGTAACTATCTAAAATTTATTAAAAATTCATTGATATCATTAATAAAACAAAATTATAAAAAATAATTAATAATGCAAATATTTACACTAAGAGTTGCTTTCCTCTGGAATTTATCCTTTTCATGACGTAAAGAAGTATTTGATTCCATACTTTCTGAAAGCTGTTTTCGTAATAAAAGTATCTCAGATGAAGCTGAAATAAATATATTTATTATTTATATTTATTATTATAAGTTTCAAAACTAAATATACAATATTTATAAATTTTTTGAAAAATAGTTGCAAAAGATGGATATACTTTTTAAGACATTATTATGTTTAGTGGGTTATACTCGGTTCACACTGGTGTCTGTGTACTATGCCGGACCAGAGTCAAGACATAGCAACCAAAATAAAACTAAAATTAAATAAGTATGTGTCAGTGTCTGTATTCAGGAATTTCCTAACAATATGGCATGTATTCAATATAGTGGCCTTCTGTAGTGTTAGGTATGTATTTCTATTCAATTGTAAAGTTCCCAGGCTTTTGTGTAGTGTGTGTGGTATAGGGATTGTATACCGGTTTACCGATAAATTGACAAAAAAACATTCGGTAAACTTACTGGTAAAGTTTTGAAATTTACCAGTAACATGGTAAATGAAAAATTCATACTAGAAAATTTTATGTAGAGAATATTGTGTTTATAGATATGTAAAAGAGCTAAAGGGACATTAGAAAAAAAAAAAAAAAAAACAGATAAGTGTAAGCAACAATATGTGAATGCACAAACATAT